AACAAAAATTCTCTAATACAAAAAAAGGGCTTTTTTTTTTTTTTTTTTTTTTTTTTTTTTTGCCTATCCTTTCCCAAAGGTCAGTGTTTGAATATGCACTTACTTTAAAATTAAGTCTGGGGCCGGGGATTTAGCTCAGCGGTTCGGTGGTCCGCCTTGCAAGCGCAAGGACCCTAGTTCAATCCCCGGTACCAAAAAAATAAAATAAAATTAAGTCTGAATCTCCCCCATTCTATCCTCTAATAAATAAGTATGCTTTCCCCTCCTCAGTGGATACATTTTCCCTTTTTCTAATTTAGGATCAACCACAGGTTTGTCTGCCACGCCACCTGCCTCTTTACCTGGCTCACTCACTAATGTGAAAGCCTTACAGAAATCTCCAGGACCTCAGCGAGAAAGGAAGTCATCTTCATCGTCAGAAGACAGAAATCGAATGGTAAAAATATCTCTTTTTTCCTCTGAGTTTTTTCTTTCTAAAAATCATAGTCAAACGTACTGTCACCTTTTAGATATATTGTGTCTATATGTGACATGAAATTCTCATAATCAAATAATTTTAAGAGGTGATAGGGCTTTGCTTAATGCGGAATTCCCACAACACTCATATTTGCTCTCAGCTCTAATATAATTTAGTGAAAGACAGTTTTGGAAGATTAGCAGTCATATTCTGGTTTAAAAATAAGGAAAAAGAGAATGAACAAGTATCTAGAAAGCATAGCATATCTTAAGGCTGATCCAAAATTCAAATATCTACCAATGCCATTCTTCCCTATTTGAAAAACTAACTTTTGGCTACATTGGATAGGTAGGAGTAGATCCTTTACCAAAGTATAACTGCATGTGATGATTTTTTTTTTCTTTTTTTTTGAGCGAGAGACCCAATGAGATAATCTATACAAGGAAATCTAGCCCTGACTGGAAAAGAGTAACTAGAGAAGTTTTCAGCCATTACCACAATATGTTGACTTAAATTTTGAGGAACTTTGAGCTAAAACTAGTCACAAATACAAGATTTATCTTGCTCCTGATAGTCTTCCAAATGGTAAAAAGCTATTTATTTTAGATTTTGGTAAGGTGCGTTTCTGTATGTACTCGCTAAATAATTTCTATTTTTAATAAATTATTTTCATTCTAATACTTGTCATAAATTTGTTTTGTTTTTTTATACATACCTTTAATTATTATGCCTTTAAAATGTGCTTTGAAAAAAAAAAAGACCTTACTCTCTTCCTGGCTGGTATACTTTTCAGGCATAGGTTAATGTACTCAGCATGAAAGAAAGATAAGGTTTTCTATCTGTTTGGCTTGTCTTGATTTCAACTTTTGAACTATTTTTATCAAGAAAACACTTGGTAGACGGGATTCAAGTGATGATTGGGAGATTCCTGATGGGCAGATTACAGTGGGACAAAGAATTGGATCTGGGTCCTTTGGAACAGTCTACAAGGGAAAGTGGCATGGTATGTATATGAGGTGATATTGTCACAGCCATGATGATATCACTCAAAGAAAGTACTTACTATTTGCATGATTAAACTCTTCATCAGTTGCAGGAGTCCTGCAATATTTTCTACTTTGGGAACTAGAAAGTGGGTTCATAGCAACGAGGAACTCCTATCATTATTTTATAGTAATAATTTTTAAAGATGAAGATCTTTCAGGTTAGGTAGTCTCCGGGATGATTTCTTTTTCTCTTACAGAAGTCTTTCTGATGATAGTCACAAGTAATAATCATAACTGATGAAAACTTCTTGGAAGACAATTTGATACTATGTGTATGAAGGACACACTATGGGTCCTACAGTTCCACCTGTATAGGACATTATCCTGAAAAAATGATTGGACAGGAATGAACAGATGTATATGAAACTATATCCCTCAGAAATTTACTAGTGTAAAATGAAAGCAAATAAAAGGTCCTGTTAATAGAGGTTCAGAAGCTGGGCATGGCTTCCAGCTCTCAGGTGGCTGAGGCAGGAGGATCACTGTGAGTTTGAGACCAGCCTGGGCTACATAGTGAGTTCCATGTCAGTCTCAACTACTTAGTGGGACCCTGTCTCAAAAAACCAAAAAAAAAAAAGGAAAGGAAAAGAAAGAAGATTAGATAAATAAGTTGATACCTGTATATATGATTTAAAATAATATAACATGGGCCAGGGATTTAGCTTAGTGATGCCACCACCTGCCTTGCAAGTTCAAGGTCCCAAGTTTGATCCCCGCTTCCAAAAATAAATAAATATAAATAAAATAATGTAACAGATCTGCATTTATTAGTGTGGAAGAATATCTTTAGTATATTATATAAAGCAACATATATAAAACTCCACATTGTTAAGCTACATAGAAATACATGAGAAAAAAGAAATATATGTAAAATAATGTTAAAGAATTGCTATGAGAATTTTAGTATATATCACGTTGGGTTATTCTTTTGTACCTATTCATAGGTATTCACGTTGCATACATATACAAGTCTAGTTAAATATATAGCAATGTAATAATTGTCATTTTTGAGTGACATAATGGGAGTTTTTTTCTTTATGCTTTCAAAATGTTTTTAAACATTTAAATGATATGCATATTATAGCACAGCTAATAGAGTGAACACAATATATTATTTTGATAATTAATAAAAGTAAAATACATATAAAAGTGTAATATACATATTAAAACGTACATATAAATGTATGAGTACTTAAAATCTCACAAAGTAAATACATCTATAATTAATGAACAGAACATTATGGGCATTCTAGAAGCTACCCATATGCCTTCTTCTGTTCACTCCTCCCCCAAAAATAACCACCTCTTCACCTCAACATGAATCATGTAGCTTGCATGAACTCTTTTTTCTGGTCTGTCCCCTCTCAACATTGTATGTAAGATTTATCTGTATTGTTGGCTATAGTTGGAAGTCATTCATTCTCTGTACACTGTTCCATTGTGTTAACTATAACCTGATTTCTTCTTCCATCTACCATAGCATGATCATTGGGTAGTTTCCAGTGTAGTGCTATTCTGAATGATGCTGCTGTGAATCTTTCCAGTATGTGTCTTTCAGGGAACATATGTATCTATTTTGGCTGGGAGAAAAATGGGCCACACAATTTGCCTGTGTCCAGTTTGACAGATACTGCCAACAGTGTTACAAAGTGATTGTACCAGTTTACACATCTACAATCAATGTGTAGGAGTTATAGATGTTTGATATAAAGTCATTGTTTAAATTATACTTAGTCATCTTCCTAATCAAAAACATCATGAGTAATTCATAGATTTGAAGGAAAAAAATGTTAACTACTCTAATAAAGAGGTCTATTTTAGAACAAATTGTTGGAGTACCTGTTATCTTTAGTTTCAATATTCAATTAATGCATCTCATTTAATATTATTAAATAATTGGGATAATATTCTGGGTGCTTAATAGGTTAAATTTACAGGGGGAAAAATGGGATTGGCTATTTTTTGGTTTAGTATTTTGAAATATTAGCATAGGAGTATTTTTGTTACTTTAGTGTTTATCTTTAGAACACTAATGCAATTTTTATAGTTAAGGTGTCATTTATTTATAGTTTAATAATGGTAAGGATTTAGTGCTGCAGTGATTAGTAAAAATAACAAGAATGATTCATAGTTTTAAATTTAGAAAGTTGGAATAACATCTGGAATGACCCTTACCTTTTAGGTGATGTGGCAGTGAAAATGTTGAATGTGACAGCACCCACACCTCAACAGTTACAGGCCTTCAAAAATGAAGTAGGAGTACTCAGGTAAGCTTATTCAAGTTGCTGTTTTTCTAAGAAGGACATTACTACTAACATTAGTTTCTGGCCAGGTGTGGTGGCACATGCCTGTAATCCCAGCACTTAGGAGGCTGAGGCAGGAGGATTGCTATAAGTTCAAGGCCAACCTGAGCTACCATAGTGTGTTTGAGGCCAGCCTGTACTACATAGTGACACTCTGTCTCAGCCCCCACCAATCATTAGTTTGTTTTTCAGCAGTCACTCTTAGGTTTAAAAATTTATGCCAGACAGGCATGGTGGTGCACACCTATAATCACAGCACTCGGGAGGCTGAGGCAGGATGATCACGGTGAGTTCAAGACGAGCCTGGGCTACATAGTGAGTTCCAGGTCAGTCTCAACTACATAGTGAGACCCTGTCTTAAAAAACAAAAATAAATAAATATATAAATAAATAAATATTTACTCAAAATGAAAAAAATGTAGTGATTCCACTGCCTGCCTTGCAAGCACAAGGACCTGAGTTCAATCCCTGGTACCAAAACAAAAAAGAAAGAAAAAATATTGAGAAAATGTCTGATTATATTTTGTTTTTAACCATATTCTTTAAGTGATGTATAATATTATGTGGTACAGCTGATAGAGTTAATCCTAGACTGAATTAATAAAATTACAGTATTCTAGACATGTAAGATAATAGTTATTGTGGAAACAATACCCTCAAAATTATAACTGTATCAGTGCATATTTCAAGATTCTATTTAGTCATAAGCCCTAGAACTTGAGGAACATTGACAAATGAGAGTAAATCCACGGTAGGACAGTTTACAGGGGGAGGATCCTAGAGCTATAACTTAGGAGGAAAATAGTGAACAAAACTAAGGACATTTAATCCAGAGAAGGCCGTCGTGTTCAAGAAGGTGCAGAGTTACATTTTTATTTCGGAGCGCAAAACTGGGAAGCCAGTTGAGGTAAGAGGAAATTTACTTTGTTTCCACAGGAGAAAAATTTCTAGTTCTAGAACCACTTAAGTAAAGAAGTTAGGGACAGCTCCATTCTCAAAGTGATGAGCTTCCCATCATTGAAGGTATTTAAACAACCTCTACCTTCCTGTCTGGTAAATTTAAAAAAAAAAGATACTTCTGAATAGGGGAGGAGGTTAGACTAGATAATTCCAGGTCTCTTCTAAATTTATCCTTCTGTTGCTTTATCAAATTCTTCTCAGTACCTTTTTCTGCCAACAGCTTTCTAATAGGTAGACTGCTTTGTCTCTCTTTAAAGAATTGCTAAAGTTTATTGATATTTATTATTTACTGTCACTTTTTTTGTACAGGAAAACACGACATGTGAATATCCTACTCTTCATGGGCTATTCTACGAAGCCACAGTTAGCTATTGTTACCCAGTGGTGTGAGGGCTCCAGCTTATACCACCATCTCCACATCATCGAGACCAAATTTGAGATGATCAAACTTATAGATATTGCACGGCAGACTGCGCAGGGCATGGAGTAAGTTCCATTCTGTCAAATCTCTTGTAAAGTACTTTTGAAGACCAATGAGAATATTTTAAAGTCCTCAGTTGATAGTCCTTTTAGATTGCATTTTAAAATTACTGTTCAGCAGTATAAGGTCACTAATGGGTAGCAATATGGTACTAAAATACACAATAATCTTTCTCTACTATAGTCATCAAAATATACAGTGCACATCAAATATTTGATAATAAATATACAACTGCAAATTTATATTCAGCCCTCAGTGACTTAAGCTGAAGTCTTGAAGTGACTAAGCAGTAGAAGCTCAGAAAACGCTCATACACTAAGAAGTAGTTAACAATTGTTAAAGTATGTGAAGTGATTGTTGATTATTTATTCTCAGTCTTTTTCCTTAGTGTTCATATTTTCTATTACAAAACAGTCAATAAAGTAAACATGAAAATCTGAATTCTTATCCTTTTTAAGGATTTCAAGTTGAGTTATGTGTATTGAATTTTGTTATATAATTTTTTGGCTATATAATTTAAAAGATATAGGGGCAACCCACTTTCTGGTCCCCCTTCTGTTTCTCTTAGAAAGAAGCTATGTTCCTCTCAATAAATTTTTCCTACTCTCAAAAAAAAAAAAAAAAAAAAAAAAAAAAAAAAAAAAAAAAAAAAAAAAAAAAAAAAAAAAAAAAAAAAAAAAAAAAAAAAAAAAAAAAAAAAAAAAAAAAAAAAAAGATACAGTACTATATAAGATTTATATACATTAAAAATAGCTGGCTTGAAAGATAAATTTTGCATATAACTCCTAAGTGCAAATAAATAGGCAAATCAAAGGTCAAATTAAATTTTAAAAGTACTTTGTTGAAAAGCAAAATAATAAGTTTGAAAAACATCAATATCAGTAAAATATATCAGTAAAACTTAAAGATATGTAAAATATAACTTTGAAATCTCTATGAATAGTTTAAAAATATGTATCTTAAGCCACGTGCAGTAACACATCCTTATCATCATAGAATTCTGAGTCTGACGCAGGAAGACTGAAAGATTGAGTCCAGCCTGAGTGACTGAGCAAGATGTTGTCTCAAAATAAAAAAGGGTAAGGGATGTAGCTCAGTGCAGAGGTCCTAGGTCCAATCACCAGTACCAAAAAAAAAGATTCATAGATTATTAAGTCATTTAATTTTATAATGTTATGAAGTAGATATTTTTGTTTTCTTTTTATAGATAAGGAACACTGAGGCTTTTACGTGACTTAAGACCACATATTTAATAAGTAGCAGCAAATTTTCTGATTCCAGTATCTATCCTTTCCCCATAACCACTATGCCACTTTTACATTATGAAATTAGAGTAAAAGGTATATGTATAGGAAGAACTCTGACTCAAGATCATTGATAGCACATAAGTATACTGCTAGGTCTCAGATCCAGCTCTGGTTTTTCAGTCTTGCCCCATACTGCCTTCTCTGACTAAAAAGTAGGCACTGTATCTGTAATTGAGATTGTTTATAGGCCTATGTTCAGCCGGAATGCGTATAGAAGCAAATTATTACCTTATTTAGTAATATTCCCACTTATTTACTGGACTTAAAGCTCAGCCTTTCAAATAAGTTATAGTCTGAGTCTGTTCAAATTTAAAAGATGATATTGAAAACTTGTGAGGAGTACACCATGGCAAAAACAGTGCCCATTCAGAGAAGCAAACCTCATTTCTCTGCTCTACACCATCTCTTTGCTGTTTCTTCAGCAAGGCAAGTCTGCTCCCTACTCACACCTCCATGCTTGTTCCTTTCTGTTTGGGATACTTGTGCTATGATACCCTTATATGTCTTTACACATGCCCCCCCTTTCTTTTAAGAGAAGTCTTCTCTAATCACTTTGTGTTGCACCATGTCCCTTCCTATACTTCAGGCTTCTTTTCAATACCCCACCCATTCTGACTATTGCCATCTTCTCCACTAAAATGCAAGTTGTTGAGAGTAGATGCTTTTGTTTTGTTCATTGTTTTTATGATTAATGGCTGCAGTAGGACCTGTCCTGACATAGGTACTCAATACAGATCTTTGAAAAGAAAAAGATGCATGACAAAGCTCCATTTTACTGATGAGATTACCTTCCAGAGCAGAGAAAAGCCAGATCTTTCACATATCAACACAGAGATGTCAAGGGAAGGAATAATAGGCAAAGAAAATAACAGGAGAAAAGAGCTTGTGGTTAAAACAAAGGCAGCAAGGTATAGTTTTTGAATTTGTTTTTGGGAACAGTGATGGGGCAATGGAGTGTTCAGTTGATTAAAAGGGGACAGCAGAAAAAAGCACTTAGTGAATGGACTGGCTGTATAGTCCAGGGAATCACCAGGCAAGAGGTGATATGGTTCAGGATCATCAGTGTTAACTTTACAGTCTGTCTGCCCAAAATTTTCACTGTGTGATGAGTATACCTGGTTATTTATATATGTCCATCATTTCATCAGGCTTATCCCAGATTTTAGTAGCAAAAAAAGTATTAATTATAAGTTTTAAACTCTAGGAGAGTTTACTTTTTATTACCAGTTAAAGTTAACCAGAGAATAGGCAGTTTCTTTTTCCATTTTTTTGTTGTTCATTTCACACTATGATGTATGCATCTGATCAAATGCAATGACATATCTTTAGTTTCTGAAGGTTTGACAGAGTGAAAATCCTCTTATTAAAATGACTATGTAGGTTTGGTTTAAGATTTTTGCTCTGCCCTGAAATTCTACTGAAACTGTAGTAAAGGGATTTTTTTAATGATGTCAATAGGTAAAGATGAGGGTTATCACAAAGGAAAAAGAAAATAGCAAACTTTAAAAGCTGGAGTACATGGGAGGCTGAGGCAGAAGGATCTCTGTGACTTTGGGGCCAGCCTGAACTATATAGCAAGGCCTTGTCAGAGGGAGGAGGTGGGGAGGAAGAAGGAAGGAGTGAGTAATAATGGACTTACTTCACCCAAAACAGCTAAATCATCATTGGCACTAGAAAAATGAAAACCATGATTTATACCATAAAATTGTCAAAAGTCTCGAAGTCAAATGTCGTAAATTGTCAGTACCAACTATGGGAAGGCAGAGGGCTAACGTGAAAAAGTCCGTTTGAGCCAGGTGTGGTGGCGCACACCTGTAATCCCAGCACTCGGGAGGCTGAGGCAAGAGGATCGCTACAAGCTTGAGACTAGCCTGGGCTACATACACAGTGAGCTCCAGGGCAGTCTGAACTACATGTGCCCTGTCTCAAAAAAAAAAAGTGCATTTGAAAAGCTGTTCTAGCCAGGCTAGAAAAGCTGTTCTCCAGGCACACACCGGTAATCCCAATACTGGGAAGGCTGAAGCAGTTGGGTTTGCTGCAAGTTTGAGGCCAGTCTGCGCTCCATAGTGAGTTCAAGGCCAGTCTGAACTACACATTAAGACTCTGTCTCAAAAAAAAAAAAAAAAGCTGTAGTTTATATCTGTGTCTGTATTTGTATCTATATCTTATCTATCTCACTGGATAATTGCCCATTCCTATCCTGATAGACTGGAAATAACCAAAACAGAGATTGGGTCACTGTACTTACTGATGAATGGAAATTTCCCTACTATTCCTTCTTATTTTTTTCTCAGATTAGCAGCCAAACCTTCCTTTTCCTGTAGACTCTTTTCTGAGGATCTTACCAGCCAAAGAGGAAAGGCCCAAAAGAAGGACATTTCCACCTAAATCAATGAAGAGTTCTATCTATATGCACAAAACTGCCAGACATTTACTGGTTCTTCACTTAGTCTATTCAGACAGATTATCTCTGGGTCATCAGTTGTTGGAGGAAAGTCTTTGATGCAAATGAGAGATCAAAACATATCAGGGATGAGGGAGATACTAGGACAAACAGATGTAACAAAAGAAGAGATTACCCACTCACGGCCCCCTCTAGGAATAAAGTCTCTTTATTTCCTCAGAGGAGTTAAAAAAAATTTTACTTTCTATCCATTTGTCAAAAACAGATGCTTTATATAAAAAAAGAACAGATGCTTTATAAAGATTATTAATATGACAAAAATTTGTTAAAATGTTGATATTTATAATACACTAGAAATTTTAGCATTTGCAATTATTTATATATTCATTTTTATTTATTTATTTATTCACTTTTAAATCTTAATTTAAAATTCATAAGAGAGCCAGGTAAATGGTGCACAACTGCAGTCCCAGCAGCTCAGAAGGCTGAAGTAGGATGTCCAAAAATTTGAGGCCAACTTGAGCAACTTAGTGAGATCCTATTTTAAAAAACAAAAGGGTCTGGGGATATAGCTCAGTGCAAAGACTTATTCTCCAATACTACATATACAGAAAAAAACCCAAAACACCAGGAGTTACATACATAGTTTGTTAGATTTCTTTAAGACATCTTCATCGGGCTGGGGATTTGGCGCAGTGGTTGCGCCGCCTGCCTCGCAATCGCAAGGACCGGAGTTCAATCCCCAGTACCAAAAAAAAAAAAAAAAAAAAAAAAAAAAGACATCTTCATCAAAATAATTTTTAAACTTATGCAAAACACTAGATGATTTAATGTTAGTTTATCTGTATTATGCAACAGTTCAAAAATGGCACCTGGACAGTTTTGTTTTGATTTTTTTTTACAAATTGAGTTATATAAATACAGGTAATTAACTAGAATATATCAGATTATATGGCTCTTGGTGAGATAAATACTCCTGTTTTCCAGTATCAATAACTAATGTAGTTTTTGTTATATTTTCTTGGACTCTGTTTTAGTCGTTAGAAGACAGTCAAAGTCTATTCCAGGAAATAGGTTGGCAGATATTAGGACAAACGGGATGGTCCAGATGTCATGAACAGGCTCAAATCCTAACTTGCTAATAATTTTATGTAATAGTTTTTTTGTTGTTTGTCTGGTTTGGTTTGGTACTGGGGATCAAACTCTGGACTTTACGCTTGCGAGGCAGGTGGCAGAACCACTTAACTAAATCCTTGGCCCTTTGTAATAGATTTTTAACTTAACCTTTTGCCTG